ATCCAAACAGCAGTAAATGAAATAACTTTTTGGTATATAAATTTTGGTATTAATTTCTCTGCTGAAAAATCAAAAGTACTCAAATTCAGTCGAAAAACACGTAGCGTGTTATTTACTCAAATAACATTAAATAGTATTCAGCTCACGGTAGCTAATGAACACAAAATACTGGGGTTAATTTTTGATAGTCGACTAACATGGAAACCACAGATTACAAAAGTCAAATCTAATTGCTTAGCGAGATTAAATTTAATAAAATCTCTAGCAAACCATCACTGGGAAGCTGATGAAGATATCCTAATTAAGATATACAGGCCTCTCTTTCGTTCTCGACTAGATTATGGGTACTTTTTATATATGTCAGCCTCAAAGACTTATTTAAGATTCTTGATACTATCCAGAATACCGCATTACGAATATGCCTCGGAGCTTTCAGATTCAGCCCTGCCGAAAGTCTTTGCTGTGAAAAAGGTGAACTTCCTCTTTCGCTCCGCAGACAACAACTTCTTCTGACATACTCTGCTAGAGTATCTTCGAATCAAAACAACCCTATATATAAGTCAATCTACAAACCCTACAACTGTGAACCCAACAATAAATATCAAACAATGCTTTAAATTTTACTTCCCCTTTCATAACATGATCATTTTTCAATAACAGATACCCATATTCTATCATCAACTCCTCCTTGGAATAATAGCATTCCAAAAATTAACCTTTTGCTTAACCATTTTCACAAAAATAAAACCAAAAGCCCAATTCTGAGGTAAACTTTCCTAGAGCTGATCAACTTAGCATCAGGTCTAAAACTACTTTTCAGATCACCAATCAAAAAGTCCTGGTAAAATCAATGGAAAAGTTCAACATCGAAACTACACAAAATACAACCTACCATCGAAACCTTTCAGCTGTATAACTTAAGTAGAAGAGATAAAGTAATCGTTCGCGGGCTAAGAATTGGTCACACACGGCTGACACATGGACACCTGATGACTTATCCGATTATCATGACCGAATTATCTGCCTGTGAAAAGTGTAGTGAATCATTAACCGTTCAACATATCCTTACACAGTGTGTCGAGTACGAGCAAGCACAATAAAATACTCTATACATGGTCATACAAATGTGATCCTCAGCCAATTGGATCTTATTCCGAATGTACTAGATTTTCTTCGAGAAACGAATTTGTATCACAAAATTTAATGTTTTTTTTTCTGTTTTTACTTTGTCTTTTACTCTCTTTATTTTAATGTAATGTAAAATTCATTTATTGTAAACTATAATAATATTGTAATGTAAAATTTATAGTACCAAAATTGACCCAGTGTCAATAACCTTGTAGTTGAGACACAATAAACCCAATAAAAAAATATATTTAGTTTCACTGTTTTGTTTTACAACTTTGCAAATAATCTAGAAGACTTCTCTTTCTATTGTAAGATTATCCCACAGAATCCATCTCTTTACAATATACTTAAAACTTGAAAATTTAATACACCTGTTCAAATAGTTTTCGTTACTATGGTACATTTACAACAGTTGCAATCGGTTAAATATAATCTTAACAAAAGTTTCCTCATGATTACTTTTTAAAAGTTATGGAACGTCAAACTTTCCATCCCATTTAGTTGATGAATTAAAACTAGAACATCTGTTTTAAATGGAAATGAAAAATATATTAGGTGTTTTTCAAACAATTTACCAAAGTAGTTAACTGTATGTCAAATAAGTTTAAATACGGTATTCACATTAATAAATTTTTAAAACTTTATTTTAGCTTTCTGATAACTGCATGCAATTTGTAGTGTTTTATAAATGTAGCTCAATGTTAAAATAAATGTTTCTCAAGTGTTTTGTAAATTCCAAATTTAAATTATATTCTCTTTTTCTAAAAATATGACATATTTATAAAAGCAATTATTTTATTTCTATAATAGTTACAAATTGTATCAATAAAAATATAAGCAGTAGTGGCGGGAAGGGTAAAGTGAAATGGTGGGGTAAAGTACCTTTTTAAATTCTTCTGCAAACGGAGCTGCCACTGTTTACAATCCGGTCAATGTTTAGAAGTAGTACGTGCTTATCGACCATTTTGTGGCATGTGGCACTCGTCTATCGGTGTTATTAAAAATATCACTGTTTATACCTTTTTGTGCGACAATTTGTAATATCTGCAGGTGAGTATAATTGCTAAATCTTCTATCTTGTTTAACTTAACATATTTTTGAAACTAAAACACAAAAACAATTATAGTTAACCATCTATTATACAAAATATAGATTGTTAGATTAGGGTTAATAATTCTTACTGGACCAGTATTGCTCTTAAATCCATTTGGGGCAATGTGAAATGTTGGGGAAATGGGGCAACTAAAATATCGTTTCACTTTGCCCCACGTGTAATTACCACGTGATTACCACTATTAAATATAGAATATCTGTGTTTCCAGGTGTAAAATGCTAAATTATAAACGAAAACCAACCCAACAACAATTGCCAGGATTTGGCACCGTCACAAATAACAGAACGAGAAAATATTTTTGAAAAAACTCCAGATTATTTTCCAGGAATAGCTTTTATTCAACCTGAGCCAATGAGTTGTGAACCTTCGGCTTCTCGTGATTCAAACAATCAGGTAACTTAAGAAACAGTTAAACCTAGTATTGAAACATCAGCAGGTAGCAATAATGAAAACAACCAGACACCTCCGAGCAAGACTGATTTATCAATTTCTTGTCGTTTATTTTATAACGTAAAGAACACTTCCCACAGCTCACACACATCTCCTTTAAAAGAATTACGATTTCCAAGTGATATTCTTCCATAACCAAAAGCAACATCAAAAATGACACAAAAGGGTGGAAAACGTAATAAAAAATGTTAAACGAAATTTGAGCCAAGAAAATATTAAAAGTAAAGCTAAAAAAATGAAGTCCCAAAAAACATCGATGGATTCTGAAAGCTCTTTCGAAGAGTCCACGAATATATGCCAGGATTCTGATTCAGAAGACCTTATTTCACTAGATGATGAACTCGAAACAACAGAGTTACTTTGTCGAAAAGATAAGGAATTTACTTTAATACAGAAGAATATTGAAAAAGATGATCATGTCGTGGTAAGTTTAACAGAGATAAGAAAGTGAACAGCCATAAAATATGTTGGAAAAATTAAAGGGCAGTGTTTAGAAAACATTTACGAGGAAGAAGCATATGACATAACTTACCTGAGAAACTACAGAAACCACCAGGACTCATTTGTGTTTCCAGATATACCTGACGACAGTGTTATTTTAAAAAGTGAAATTGTCGGCGTTCTCAGCAATTTTTCTGCACTTCGCGACGGAATAATTAAATTTTCATAAATTTTTTTGTTATTTTTAAATTATCATTTGCAACAAATATTAGAATAGGTACTTTTTTGTTATTTTTCCTAATTAAATTTTTATTTTAAAGACTTTTTATAAATGCTAGTTATATCTCACATTACCCCACCAAGTATTTCACTTTACCCCACCGTGTGGGGTAAATTGTTTAATTGAATTTACTGTTTGTATTTTGAGAACGATTTCCGAAGTGGAAATTGAAACGTCAATAAATGTATTTTTATCTTTAATTGTGGCTTATTCCCAGTTTAATAGTAATTAATTTACAATGCTACAAGAAAATAGCTTCAAAGCTTTTCAGATCAGAATATAAACTTATATATAAATTAAACACCTTAAATTAATAAATAACCCTATTTTACATCCGTAATTATCCAATATTGTCACTTATTTAGTGTATATTTGGTTGACTATGCACATGGCTCACCTAAATATATCTATTATTAAAATAAAAATAAAAAAAACTATTTAAACTTATCATTATGCTAATTTCTTAAAAATACCCTCATATAAATAATTTTTATAATATTCTCTGGTATATAACTTATAAATTATTTCTTTAATCACTATTTAAGATTATTAATTAAAAATCATAATATTATTATGCTAATTTCTTCGATATTTATTATTATCTCAATACATATACGTATACATATACATATATAAACTGAACAAGCAACTGAAAAGCTTCTTCCATATATAAAAGGTTTATCCGAACAATAAACAAATCTTTTTGCAAAACATAATATAAAAGTGGCTCGCAAAGGCAACAACCTTTTAAACAAATATTTCACGAAACTAAAAACACAAACTCCAAATTTTAAAAAATCACATGTTGTTTACGAGATACCATGTATTAACTGTGAAGGTGTCCATATCGGTCAAACCAGTCAACTGCTTCAATCCAGAGTTCGTTCTCACAAATATGTCAAAAACAACCTCACTGTGCTCATAAAACATGAAAGTGAAAAGAAGCATAAATTTGATTTTGAAAACATCAAAATTTGAAAAACAGAACAAAACAAAAAGATGAGGAAGATATACGAATCAATAGAAGTAAAAAGAAGTACCAACGCAATAAATTACAAAAAAAATACACAAAGCCTAAATAAAATATATTTCAATTTGATTTAAATAATAAAAAATATAACACCATAAAAAGCTCTTAAAGACATAACATATCTCCACTTTACCTTTTTCGAAAACATCAATGATACGCCCATATAAAAATAATTATATACCAATGACAGTAAACCATGAGATATCAGATATCAACTTTTATTTGTCAGTTCATTAATGTCTGTGTCCCGTTTTACGTTTTGGTAAGTCGTATCTACACATATTTTACAATAACTGTTTGTTCTTGTACATTTTAGAATGTTGACAAAGGCAAGGTTTTTCTGTCGAAACGTTGATTGATATGGAAAATAAAATCTAGTTCCATATGTAACATATATATATATATATATATATATATATATATATATATATATATATATATATATATATATATATATATGTATCTACATGTATCTACATGCTTTTCAGATCAGAAGGTATTAAACTGTAATTCACAAGAGAATATTGTTAATATTCCATATCTTAATATTTTTTTAGAATAGTTGAGACGAAAAATCCAAAATATCCCGTTGGGAAATATATCCGTGCTGCATTTGGATGGCGAAGTCTAACCATATCAAATGGAAAATTATCAGATCAGGATTTGGCTGTCCTACCAGATTACGGAAACTTACCAGTGTCACTAGGATTGGGAGTATTAGGAATGACCGGGTAAGTGTGATGTTAAAACTATGATAAATTTGTCAATAATCTAAGTCGTTCAATATTATTGTTTTGAACTTTTTTATGTGCGCTTATCCCAATAGATATATTTTTTAAAAACATGATATTCTGTGTTCTGAGCTTGAGCTTGAGCTACAAGTCAATGGTAAAACTAATATCATTTTCATATTAAGCATACTAAATAATATATCCCTAAAAATAATATAAAAGAAATTAATGAATCACCCTGTAGAACGAAAACTAGCAACATTTTGCCTAAGCAATTTGAGCTCAAATGATTTATTTTGATGTGAACTATGACCCATTACCTAATGTCCAATTCATTATGGGACACCCAGTATATCAGAGACGTTTCATAGGCAATAAATATGTTTTTCATTTTTTAAGTTTTTTAAAGAAAAACACGTCAAAATCAATTGTACATTTTCACGGATTTCTGATCAGATACCCTTCATGTACCTTGTATATAGATCCTTTAAATAGCTGTATAAGATTTACGTGAAATACACCTGAAATCAGTGATTTTTACTTAAAGGTTTTAAAATATATAGGAGGGGTAGTTGATGACAATATGTGAAGACTTACAGCTAATTTTACTTTGTTTTTTTATTAAACAATCGTAAAAAGTAAAAAAAAATAGTTGTTTTCTATAGAACTTGTGTTATAGATTTTAGGAAAAATGGTTCAAATACAAGTTCCTTAATATTAAGAGTTTCAAAATTCATATACATAAAGAATTCACCGAAATAATTTCAAAAAACCCTCCTTTTGTGTTGTTTATGTTAATGTGAATAACTTTCTTTTTTGAACAACGACCTGTAATATAACTACTAAAATTGGTGGAAGTTAACGAGTTATTAAAGTGTGATAAATTTCAATAGGATCGACCAAATACTTTAAAGTTATCCAATTTCTTGATTCTAGAGAAGTATTATTTAAACAACTGTGCGTGCCCAAACCGTCGGCTCTAGACGTATTTTGTAAATTGCAGTCAATTCATTTTGCAGCTAAATATGTTAAAAGAAATAATTTTAATTTAATATTTAATTAAATAATAAATAATAAATTTGTTATTAAAAACCAGTTTGAAAAAGCTGGTAAAGCTGGTATTGTCAATGAAAAGCTGGTAAAAAAATACACTTTTCAAAAAAACAGAACCTTCTATGAGCAATGGGAAACAAAATAGCATTTTTTTCTTAAAACAATATTTCCATTATTTGAGCTGAAACTCTTGAAACAGATTGTAAATGAACATCTAAATTTTATGATCCAACTTATAGACCACATACACAGTAAAGAAGTACAGTTCGCCAAATACTGAAAGTGTGAAAACGCGTGACGATCATGATGCGCATTCGTATGTGCGACAGTCTGTATGTGCGTTCTCACTTCATTGTTAGCGCAGGCAATGGGAATTTCACACTTTTTGGTGAACTTTAAACGGTTATAACCCGATGAAATGATGGTATTGGTAAAATACCGCCACGAAAAAGTGGAGGGGAGAACTGTCCGCTGCAATAACTTGATTTGTTTCTTGTTATTGGTCCTAACTAGATGGTTCTGCTTGTTTTTAGAAATTGTGTTTTTTTACCAGTTTTTATTAGCCTACTTACAATCGTGTGACGTAAAAAATATCAAAGGTATTATAAATGTTTAGAAACTAAAATGTCAGTACTTTTTTAAACTGTTTTTTTAATAATAAATTTAGGGAAATTTTAAGTTTTTCTAATATACCTTAAAAACGAAGCCTCAAAAATAGTGTGTCATAAAATATAATAGTGTGACGTAAAAAGTATCAAAATTATTATGAATGTTTAGAAACTAAAAGGTCAGTACATTTCAAACTGTTTTTAATAATACATTTAAGAAAATGTTAACTTTTTTTAATATACCTTAAAAATGAGGCTTAAAAAAATCGGTTTTGAATTAAAAAGTATCTATGCAAAGATATAAATATATAAATATCTATATATTACGATATATAAAGCAATTAACAAATTGAATAACTTTTAAAAAAGTTGGTCGATCTCTTTGAAATTTGACACACTTTAATATCTCATTAACAGCCACAATTTGAAGTAGTTATATTTTATATATGGTCAAAAACCAAAAACATTTATAAATTATGACAACAATAATTAGAGTTTATAGCAATTATCTCGGTCAGTTATTTATGTATTTTAATTTGGAAACACCTATAATAAAAAAGTTTTATTTAAACCATTTTTCACTGGAATTTAGAAGAAACGTTTTATAGGCAAAAAATATTTTTTTTCAATGTTTAAGATTGTTTAAAAAAAGCACAATCAGCTGTACATCTTCATGGATTATTCATCTACTCCTCGTTTACCTTTTAGAACCTTTAAATGTTTGTATAAAAATTTTTCAGCTTTTTTTTATTTTTTTGAGTGAGTTAATAGTATTGTACGTTACAATTGCTAATAAATGTATTATTAAAAACAAGAGAAAAAACAGGCATAAATAATTTCGTTTTAAACTTCTCATAATATTTTTTGGTTTTAGTATGACTGCTTACTTTGGTTTACTGGAAATCTGCAAACCTAAAACTGGAGAAACTATAGTAGTATCTGGAGCAGCTGGTGCAGTTGGTAACTTGGTTGGTCAAATCGCTAAAATTAAAGGATTAACCGTGATAGGAATAGCAGGATCAGATGAAAAAGGAAAGTGGCTGAAAGAAGAACTGGGTTTTGATCATTTTATTAATTACAAAAAAGATAATATCGATGAAAAGTTGAAGAAGGTGGCACCTCAAGGAGTTGATTGTTATTTTGATAACGTAAGTGGTAATAAAACATAATTAATGTATTTTATAATGTAATAGGTTTTTTTAAAGTTTTGTTGTATTACCATACACTACCGGTTATTAAAGGGTATGTTTGTTCCTCTACGACCTATTCACCGATTTAGAAAGACGTTGTTTAATTATTTTCCCACCAAGACCACATAGTGTGGACGCGCACCATCGTGCAGCAAATATAAATCATTTTTGTTTGGAAACAACCGGTTTTAATTCGGGGAGCAAAAAATTTTAAAGAAACTTTAAATATCAAGGACCTGTTAAGCTTTCTTCGAAAAGTGTGGTCCAATAATGCTATTATCTATTATTCCAATCCGAGCATTAACTTTCTTTGGGTATTGAATATGGTACTTGTGCACCCAGTGTTGATTTTCCGTAGTTCAGTACCGATAAGTTTGACGATTGTAATGACCGTTTAGTGGAAATGTTGCTTCTTTAGTAGGGATGCTACTTGTCCTTCTTCAGCTTTCTAAGAACTGTTGAATTGCCTGAAGCATGCTTTAAATTTAATGCTACTTGCAGTGAACCGGTATGGGGATTATCTTAAAAGGCTAATAGAACCTCTAGTTGTTTGTTTTCAGTTATTGATTTTTCACTACCTTTAGGGAGGTTTGTGACATAACCTGTTTCCCTGACTTTCTTATCTATTTTGCTTATTGTGGATAGTGAAATAGGTTGTGGGTTGGGGTATTCATTACTAAATAACGTATATACTTCTTTCTGCATAGGTTTTTTATCTTCACAACTAATTATTATTGGAATAAAAAGGTATCTTTAACGAAAAAAAGTCGATATTTGTCGAAATAAAAATCGACTAGTTTCAGAATTTCTTAAAGTCGCCGGCTTACGAAATACGGAACTTATTGTTTTCATTTGCCCCATACTGTATTTATAGGAAGAGCCTATAAAGCTATAAAAATTTTAAGTTATGTATTAGTCATTATTGTTTGAAATAAAAACATTTCATATTTTTTAGGTTGGGGGAGAAATAAGCTCATCCGTTTTGTACCAGATGAACGATTTTGGTCGGGTCACTGTTTGTGGATCAATATCAGCATATAACTCACCTGTTAAACCAAAAGGTAATCTAAAATAAATTATATTAATTATATATTAATAATTTATTATATACTGATATATTTAGCAATAATTAAAATAAAAAAATTAAAGATTGTATATATATATATATATATATATATATATATATATATATATACAATCATACAATATATATATATATATATATATATATATATATATATATATATATATTAAGAAAAGGTTAATGCGAGTTAATAGTAAAATAAAGGTAGAAAGGATCGGCGTAATTCTCAACAAGGGAAACAAATTATATTATATTTATATAAGATGGAAGGCAACCGTACATATGTATTTATATTTGGTCGTCATCAGTACAGTGGCCAAGGTAAAACAGGGAAATGTTATAAGACTGTGAAGTTTCCAGAGCAACAACTAACACATCCACGGAGGAAGCTACAGCTACCAGAGGAAAGGAATGCCAAACGTTTGAACATTTCAAACCACAAAAAAGTTAAATGCGAGTTAGTAGTAAAATAAAGGCAGAAAGTATCCGTACAGCTCGTAACAAAGGAAAAAATAATATAAAAAACGTTTGGCATTCCTTTCCTCAGGTAGCTGTAGCTTCCTTCGTGGATGTGCTAGTTGTTGCTATGGATGGACTATTAGAAGATTTTGAGTATTACCACAAATTGGTAGTATTGGTCATGTAGTGATTCTTTTTCGTGTTAACATTCTCTCATGTGTCACTGGAAAAAATCATCCTTATATTCTTTCAGCCAATAATGGCTGTTGGCTACGACACCGAAGCCAAGTAAGTCAATTTTCAATTTTTTGAGAAGACATAACCTCAACTTTGGCCTTTATTTACTCTAAACAAAATTCTTAAATAATCTTTTGTTGAACCTTTATACCTGAAAGACTATTAATAATTAATACCTGTAAATATTCAATAAATATCATGTTACTGTTCGTTTCTCCATATCGCTGAGCGGTATGTTAAATGAAGTAAACAGGAATGTAAGAAAATATTCACATTAAAAGAAGTTACTCTCCATTAAAAATACTATTTGACAAAGATTTGATAAAGATTTTATGCAAACTTATCAAATTTCACCTACCATACTCGCTATAAAAGAATAAATTAGATACAAATAGTGAACAGATGAAAAATTTAGATGATAAATCCTCACACTTTTTTGGGTCCTCAAGCACTAGACGGAAAATTGAATTACCACTAACATAAACTGCCGAATTAATGAATAAATAGACAAAGTAAAAGTACTTAATATACCCTTTAACGATATTTGGTAAAAATATACCAATAACTTGCAACTAGCAATATTTGCCGTAGTTTTAACAACTCGCCCTTATTTTGCGCCATACTTACTTTGTTACGTTAGCTAGTCATTGTCATTACACAAATCTAATAACTTAAAACAATAAAGATTCACAAAAAGTAATACATGTAAGACTAATATCGCATAGAGGTTAAACTGCTAATTAAAAACAACATAACGCGACAAACATGCGATGTTTTCTTAATGAAAGTGAACGACACAAAGGGCATCACAAATCTTGTCTTTTTATCTTCGTTAACCAAATAAATAGCGACTCTTCGATGCCACGATAATACTTAATGACTTGTTATAAAAACTATTGCGGCTAATCAGTTTAAACTTGATAATATAAATGAGCGTCCTAACCAACGTATATAAAAACGCAAAAGCTGAAATAAAAATATAATTAAAATATTCCAGAATTTCCCACTGCCAGAAACTTTTAAGAAGGAGACATAATATCCTCCAAGCTATACACCGCAACTGTTAAAAACATTCAGGAAATAGAAATAACAGAAGAGAGTTATCTTAAATAGAGCAGCTTGTTATAAGTGTCGATGAAATTCAGCATACCTAATTATTGTATTTAAGAGTCTTTCTCTTTTTGACTTTGATTTTGGTCTGGTACCTGGATAGGTGTTAATAAAGATAAAACATATCTTAGTGTGAATGAAGACTGGCTTATATATATATATATATATATATATATATATATATATATATATATATATATATATATATATATATATATATATATATATATATATAAACTGACTTGACTGAAGAATTTGTTGCAATGGCATGAAACAAGTCTAGCAACTTTGATTAAAAAGGTGGTAAGAGAAATCCAACTAAAGCTGAGGATATTTGTTAAAATTAAGTCACGAAATAAAATATTAAAATAAAAATTAAAATAAAAGGAGCAAATTGCTGAAACAGGGCTCAAAGAGGAAAAAATAAATTAAAGAGAATATTTACTTATCAAAATTAAGTGTTTATATAGGTAATTATTAAAAAACTAACTAGTGGAATAAAAACGTCAATAAGCTGGTAAATAAATATTTGGTATGGGTTCTTACACTCTAAAACTTAGAACATTTTACAAAATTGGGCCAAAAAGTAATAACATTAGGCCAAACAATCTGATGCGATTACGGAAATATTAAAATGTAAAGGTAAGTAGGTACATATGAGACTTTCTACATATAAGACTGCCTTAAAGGCGCAGTGATGAAAACGTCAACTTACTGAGCGTAGAAATTTGGGGGTCGTGACTTTTAATCCTGGCCAAGATGGAAATTTTGATTAAAAAAAAACAATCACTCTTTTTACCAGATCGGTACTTAACCAAAGCCCCGCAGTCGTTTTAAAATAAGCGATTCTTGGTAAAAACAATGAAGAAAACTTCGCAAATACTCAACAAACACACGCGGACTACAATATAGATAATGTACAGTAAGTCAATTGGCTGTAGTATAACGAACTTCGGGCTTTGCGAACAAAAGTATGGGTCTATCAGTAAAATATAACCATAACAACAATACAGATTCTGCAATTCGATATAAAATAAGAAGTCAAAAGATAAAGAGATACGATCAATAAAAGGGAAGGCAAACGAAAAACTTTATAGAAATAAATATATCTCCAAAATAATGGGAAGAATTAAAAATGGAGGTTTATACCTATAAAAGCAATGACGATCAGACGAATAAATCAATTTTGTAAGTTAAATTTCCAATATGTACATTTTTAAATTTAATTATTTTTTTCTATAACTCACATCTTTTTTGGGTATGTTTTTACGATTGGACTTACTTATCATACTAATAATTATTAATACAAATCCATAAGGATACGATATATATGTTTTCCGTAAAAATTTTTGTATATTCTATTTTCTGATTAATTATTATTTAAATGGGAATAAGCCACAATTAAAGGTTAAAGTACGGTTTTTGACGCTTAAATTTCCAGTTCGGAAATCGTTCTCAAAATACAAATATTAGTAAATTAAACAAATTTTGTTTTTTTGTTACTTAGTGAAAAATTATTCTAATAATTTAATTTTATTCAACTCATTTATATTGAAAATTCAGACATACATTATACATTTTAAAGTAGACGACTTTAAAATGATATTGCCAATATTGTTGAGTTGCGCTCCTGGGACGACTTTACTTATAAGATAGTTCATTCGATTAGGTACATGAAATCAACTTTAACTTGAGAATATCTGTCAGAAAAAATCATAGCATGTAATTCGTCTTTAAAAAGACAAACACATGCCATGATGACATTTTTCTTCTTATAAATAATATTATCATTTCGGTATTTTTATTTCAGTTACCATTGTTCAACCAGCAATTCTTTTCAAGCAGCTGAAAGTGGAAGGATTTGATAACACCAGATGGGCAAATAGATTCCCAGAAGCAGTTAAACAATATTTACAATGGATACGCGAAGGCAAAATTAAATACCAGGAAACTGTTACTGTTGGTTTCGAAAATACATTCAAAGCATTTATGGGAATGCTTAAGGGTGAAAACCGAGGAAAAGCTGTAGTTAAAGTATAATAATAAACTGTAAAACGTTCTACTACAAACTAGTGTCATTTAAACTTGAACAGTTTACATTTTAGAAACCATCATAAGTAATAATTCACTATACATGGAATTTTGGAGTACTCTAGTTAAAAATATAAAATAATGTTGTTAACAGTTTGTATTTGTTATGTATAAAAAATAAAAATAAAATGTATGGTTTCTTGTAAATTTTCTTTCTTAGAAACAAAAAACGTTACTGGAAAATCATGAACGAAAAATAACCAATTCCTCAACAGTTTTAGTAATTCAAACATAAGATCATACAGTATTAAAGAACTTTAATAAAACCATATATAAAAACATTGAATTTGTAATACTAATTTGTAATAATTGTTTTTTACCTCATAAAATCTGCTTAATAAAATTTTTGCTGGCTGTGCAAATTTTAAAGTTCTAGTTTTAGACGAGGCGAAAAGCTCGGGATCATTCGGAAAAATTTTCCTGTAAGATTTTTTTGCATATTTACTTTCATGAGATATTCCAAAATAAGTTTCAAAAGGTCGACCAGACGAAAAATTGTTCAAATGTTTTGAACATTTTTTTACCGAATTGTAAAAATGAATTTTTCGACCCCCACAAATTTTTTCGGACCATTTTGAACAAAATAGGTCTTTAGTCATTTTTCGGTAAACTTGATTGTTTTCGAGATAGAGAATTTAAAACTAAAAAAAAAACTTAGAATTACGATTTTAAAAACATGTTCCAAAGTACACGAACGTGGTCCAAAGTACAAGTTGTATGGACTGTAGATAGTTATAAAAATTTAAACGCTGATTTTTTGGCTTACAGATGCCGAGAAGCAAAACAGACGTTAAAAGAATAAAACCTGTAGCCGAAAACGTCGAAAATGCTGCTAATGCTCAATTGCAAAAACAGCTCAGTCTAAGACAAGCCAGCGCAGACTTTAAAGTATCTAAAGCAATCTTATTCAGACATCTCAAGAAACACAGAGAATCTGGACAAGAACATTTTGTATATAGTTCATCACAAGACGTTAAGTTAGTCTTTACGAAACAGCAAGAGGAAGAGCTACTAAAGTATGTTACCATTTGTGCCAAGATTCATTACGGCCTTTAAACTATCGAATTAAGAAAGTTAGCGTATAATTAAGCACGTGTAAATAATATTGATTATCCCTCTTCCTGGGATACAAACCAAAAGGCAGGAAAGGAGTGGTACAGGTAAAAAAAGTTTTGCATTTTTTAGGTCATAAGGGTAAATATTTTTTTTACAGGTTCTATCTGCAAAGACATCCGTCTGTATCATTACGTAAACCACAAGCAACAAGTGTAGCCAGATAGACAGCATTTAACAAATGTTAATTTATTTTTTGATAAGCTGGAGGAACTTACGGTAAGATACACATTTAGTCCGGATAGAATTTATAATTTAGACGAAACCGGACTAACCACGGTGCATACCCCGGTTCGTGTTATTGCAACGACAGGAGTTAAACAATTCGGCAGCATCACATCGGCTGAAAGAGGTGTAAATGCGACTTTAATTTGCTGTATTAATGCTATTGGTAATTGTGTACCTCTTTTATTCGTATTTCCGCGTGTGTTTTTTAAGGAATACATGCTGAAAGGGTCTCCGATAGGTAGTGTTGGGAGCGCGAATCCTAGTGGATGGTCTAACTCTACGATTTTTGCTGAGTATTTAAACCACTATATAAAACATAAAAATTCAAGTACTGACAATAAATCATTACTGATTGTCGACAATCATGAGAGCCACATTTCAGTGGAAGCTTTAAATTTAGCAAAATTATCGGGAGTCGTCATGCTTACCTTTCCACCCCACACCATCCACAAGCTACAACCGTTAGATAGGTCGGTTTTCGGACCTCTAAAGAAATATTATAATACAGCTTGCTCCGACTGGCTAATTTCAAATCCTGCAAAAACGATGACAATCTATGATATTGTCATCATAGATGACAATATCACAGATTGTGTGCCACAGGCATTTACACAGAAAAATATCCAGTCTGGTTTTACTGTTTCTGGAATTTTTCCTTTCAACAGAAACATTTTCGAGAAGCACGAATTTCTCACTTCATATGTTACGGATAGACCACCAGTTGCAGAAGAGTCCAGAAATAATCAAAATACCTCCGAAACTAATAGTTCCTCGAATATTTCTGTAGAGGGTCAAGAAATGTCTTCAAGAACAACTAGTATATTTAATGATCCTAGTTCTTCCTTAGTATTCAATGAATTAAATCAACATAAAAGCCCCGAACAAATTCGCCCGTTCCCAAGGCAGCTGCGAGGAAATTTAAAAAGAAAGGAGGTAAGAAACTAGGCGCTGTAGAATAGTTACAGATACAACAGAGAAGAACGAAATTGAAATGATGACGCTCCTTAAAACCACGAAGAATTTTTTTCAAAAAAACAAAAAGCAACCAAAAAAGTTCTTGATAGTAGTTCTGATGAAGATGTAATAAAAGAAAACGAAATAAAGTGCGACGACTCACTAGATGACGTGGATTTTGCCAATGCAGAAGAGGAAGATAAAGATTTTCTTGAGTCTGGCAACAAGCCCTACGTGGGAGATTTTATTTTAGCACAAATTGCAACAAAAAAGACAAAACGATATTTTGTTGCTAATGTCGTTGGAGTAAATGATGATAGGTTTAAAGTTAGATACCTAAAAAGAAGTTACTTTGCCGCCAAATTTCTTCTCGAAAATGACACTGTCTATGACTTGCCTGACGAAGATATGGTGATGAAACTAGGAGCCTCTTTAATAGTGGAGGGCACTGCCAGAAGAAATGCTGACATGACATTTTCTATCGATTTATCTGCATTTAACATCCAATAAATAAGTGTTTCAAAGTACACATACTTATGTTTCACAGTACCAACCTCGGTGTGTACTTTGAGACCTTAAGGATATGGTGAATTTTTCTGTATTCATAAGCCTATTTGCCATTAGAATTGATATTTTATTTTTTTATTTGTTTACTTAAAGAAACTTAATTTCAAAAAAAAATCTCAGTTCGAAATAAAATTTAAAAACTACTGAAACCTGCTTTTATTTAAAAACCGTTCCAAAGTACAAGGATCTCCCCCACTCATGATAGGAAAGAAAATTATAATTTTACACTGCGGTGGAGAAAATTGATGGATCAACGATGTATTATTAATACCTTCAAAACGAATTGAAGACGCGTCTTTAGATTACCATGAGGATATGGAAAGTTTAACTCTTCTTCCCAGATTACCTAAATATAGTGTGATTGTCATGGACAACACATCATATCATTTAAAATTAATGAGAAAATTCCAAATATTACTTGAGACAAATTTTGTGATTTTTATTTGAGAAAGAATTTTTATTTGAGAAAGATTTGTACTTTGAGGCATGATATAGTAAAAAGCAATTGTTGGAGGTTGTTTATAGTAGACAGTACCAGAAGAAATATGTTGTTGATAACTGTACTTGCAGTAATGGGCATACCGTGTTTGACTTGCTCCTTGCTATTGTACATTGAACCGAATAGAGTTAATATGGACTTAACTTGAAGAAAATATAAGAAGAACAAACGTGGCTCCTAAATTTTCGTCTACTTTTCTTCTGTTAATCAGAATGATTCATTCTGTCTCCGGCTTCTATACAACATGTCCAAATTTACATTTATGACATTCTACTCATGTCGGATAGGCCACAACTGACGAAATGCCCCTGAAGATGATCTATTGATCGAAAGTACTTGGGCAAGATTAAATTAATCACCGTGTTCGACAGTTGCCTTGTATACCGTCAAAGTTTAAATAATATAAATGTTGTGAAATAAATTTTTAAGTCTAATATTCCACAAAGTATTAATTTTAATTAAATAGATTAGACAATTGCACGCAACTGATACGCGAATACTTCAAATTTTGTTGATAGTTGAGCCTGTGGTAAAAGTGTATAAAGTGTGGCCGGTTTTTTAGAGTGAAAATTTTGTTTATGCTTTGATTTCTTACACAATTTGATCATAATATAATATATATATTAATAAATTGTATTTATACATACTAAATTTAGATTAAAAGCTTTAAAAACTAATTATTGTTGTGTATTGTGATTGTGCTATGCCAAAACAAATAAATAGTCTGTAGAAATCTGATGAGCTTTCATATAAAATAAATTATTTTAAACAAGAAATAATGGCGGGACGTTTTTACTATTAAAGCCCTAAAAGAGGTAAGTTTAAAATTTAGAATATATAATTTTGTATTAAAATGTTTTCTTGTATATTTTAGTGTGTTGAAGTAGTCTTAAAACTAAGTGTATTTACTTTTAATGTAATAGTTTTACAAATAGTTAATATTTAAAAAATTAGTCACCTACTAACTATTCTGATGCAAGCATTTTTATATGAAAAATGCTATACGTATGGAGTAATAATATAAACTAATATCATTTTGTAATGTAATTGATAAACTAATATTATTTTCATATTAAGCATACTATATTATAGTATAGTATGCTTTTTCACCTATTTCGAAAGTTGAACGGGTAGCATGCATGCCGAGCCTAGTCTTGGCTTTATCACTTTGAAGTTCCAGAGAAGATTTTAGTTATTGGCAGATATAGTTATATATATATATATATATATATATATATATATTAATAAAGATTGGGTATTCTCAAGGACAAATTGAAAAAGCAAATCACTAATGCTGAAGAACAACAAGGTTCTACAAAAGGGCGGTATATAACAGACGCAATATTTATAATAAAAAAAAACACCGACCAGTATAACAAAGATACTCCATAAACTAAATAACAACAACGTAACCAAAGTTAGAGCAGGAGACGAATTCACTGAAAATATTCCAACACCGGAAGGAATTGACAAGGCGACAGTTTAGGCCCCTTCTTGTTTAATCTTCTCATGGGCAAAATTATCAACAAAGTAACATCTCTTAATCTCGGATATAGAATGGGCAACAAAAGAATTGGTATGGTGTGTTACGCAGACGATGCAGCAATTATTGCCGAATCAGAAGATGATCTCCAAAGGCAGCTCTTTCAGTTCTTTCAAACAAGCCGACTACTAAATATGAACATCTCTACCAACAAAACTAAATGTATGACAATAGCAAAAGATCCGCTCAGATGTAAGTTAGTGGTTGAGGACAACCCCATAGAACAGGTGATGCAATTCAGATATCTGGGCATAGATATATCAAGCACCCACGACCCAGTAAAGGACCTGAGGAGTCAGATCAACAAAGCATCTGCACTGTCAGGATGTCTGCGGGAGATAGTCTGGTCAAATCCGTATATGCGCACAGATAGTAAAATTAGAATCTATAAGACTTGCATACGACCGATCATGGCATATGGCATAGAAGTGCGCGAAGATACTAACAAAACAAAACAGATGCTAAGGGTTGCCGAAATGAAAACCCTAAGAACAATAATGGGGAAAACAAGAAGAGACAGAGCGAGAAATACAAACATTAGAGAGCAGTGCAAAATTCAAGATATCGTAAGATGGAGAAGGCAGCGCAAGAGGATGTGGTACAACCATGTAAGACGAATGGATGAGAATAGACTCCCAAAAATTTGCCCTAGAAAACAATCCGCCCGGTTCAAGACCCCCCGGAAGACCACCTAAAAGATGGAGGGATAGTTGGCAATCTACCTCCCAAGAAATTAACCAGAGGCAGCTTCAGAATTAAACAGATCGAAAGATCTACAAAAAGTAGAAGAAGAAGAAGAAGAAGAAGAAGAATAAAGATTGGCCTAGAAAAGGAAATAAAAGGAAATTTTCTCGGACTAGGTATGTTCATATTACTAAAAATTAATAAAGATTTTGGCCGCATTATCGATTAACCGAAAACAACATTGGATTTGTATCAATCTCTGTTGGATTGTAATGCATCTCAGCATAGTATTGTCATGGTATTATCACAAGATCAGGAAAAGGAAACAAAAGTTATTCCATATTTTAGTAAAACAATTCAAAAGGCTGAAAAGAATTATTGTATTTCAGGTTCCTAGCTAATATAAAATCGTTTAATTTTTATACCTTCCTTTACATTAGAAATCTTAACATTAAAACATCATAGCCCGTAGCAGTGGATAATGAGTTTTAAAAAGCAAGAAGGACAAATTGCTCGGTGATTAGAGAGACTCCAACAGTATAACTTTAACGTAGTACATCGAAAGAGGCGACTCCATAGCAATGCCGATAATATTTCTAGGCGACCCTTTGAAGAGAAGAATACGTAACCAAATAAGCGTGTTCAGGTAATCACAGTCATACAAAAAAAGAGATAATGATCAGATTGTCCTGGTAAACCTGAAAAAGATCTAAAAGGACGATAACGACTTAAAAGGTCCACGATAATGGCTTAAAAATGGAGTAAAATCTATTTGGCGGGAAATAATCAAATACAGTGAAACCATAAAGGCGTACTGGGCTTAATGACAATCTCTATATCTTTCCGTTAGTTGTCTATTGATGATGAGCGCGGGAAGGTGCAAGACCTTCTTTTGGTCAGTTTTTGCGTGAAGGCAATCTTCAAGGTCACCTTCCTGCGAAGAAGAGTGTTTATCCTTGACATGCATATAAAATTTAAAAGGAAAATTGAAAAAGTCTACGAATTTGCTCGTAAAGTTTGAAGCTTTATAGTGACAAAGCTTTCTAATATTATATTATTTATCTATGTACAAAGCCAAGACCAGGCTCATCATACAGAAAATAAACAATTCAATCTACTGCATTCAATTTTCAATTTGCCATAAATCCAAGGTAGTTCATATCGAGAGATAAGATGCATACCATGGAACTGATCAACCCTGTTGGCTTCAATGATCCCTGATAGACCAATTATTTGAACCAAGTATTCGAAATAACTGTTGAGCGGGGAACAGTGTTACAATAGTTCTGTGAGTAAACAAACTTTAGTTTTTATAGGGTGACAGATAAACTATTTAGAACAATGCGGATTTTCACAGAAATTTGGATTGGGAAAAAGCCCTTCGTTTCGCTTCTTGTTGGGTAGTGCATTCTGTGATTGTATAATGATTACGTTCAAACCCTTTAATAAACAACAAGATAGAATAGATGAAGCGTAGAATCTTTAAAGTAATTTTAAACTGTTTGTCCTCGTTTTAGTGTAGTGTTTTGTACAATTTTATGTTATTATTAACGTTTCCACATTCTACGCTTGCCGGATAGTTTATATTTTGACGAAATGCCCCTGAAGATGCTATTTTAAGCGAAAGTACTTGGGCTAGATTTAATTAACTTGTGCTCGATAATAGCCTTATTTTTCAAAGTTCATTTATTCGAGCATTCAACCTCATTTCAATTATATTGACAAATGCCAATTTAAAGTTAGGTATATAAGAAGGGGATACTATTCAGTACATATCGTTTTAGTTAATGTAAGTTTTTAAGTTTTAATTTAATTTTGAAAGTTATGGATTATCAAGAAAAGATTTCAGTCATCATAGATTGGTCTAAACCAGAAAATTAAAAGAAAATTACAAATTTGCTGAAACCTGAAAATGTATTAATGATTTTGGCCGCATTGCTAATGTTAATCGATTAACCGAAAATAACATTGAATATGACTGTGACGCATCTTTGCATGGTATTGTTGCTGTATTATCATAAGAAGAGGAAAGTGAAGAAAAAGTTTTTGCATATTTTAGTAAAACAATAAAAAGGCTGAAAAGAATTATTGCATTTGGCGTGTTCCTTAGGCACCTAAAGATTTTCTGCAACAAATTGGTAAATAAGCATTTGTAGTTGGACTACAGATTATTAAAATGCAACAAGCTGATCACTAATCTATTTATCTTCCAGTCCAGACATCTACTGCTTTTGTGCTTAACCATTGAAGAATGCCCTCTTCCTTGGATTTCTACGGTACACCACTTCGTGTATTCCAGTATTTGGTTTACTACCTAGAAAGAATAATTATAGTAAGCTTTTTCTCATCGATCACTAAGAAGCTATTATCTTGCTTGCATCGGGCCTTGCCATTATCAACTCTGCCCATTGGCATAAGTTAGCGCAATTTTGCCGCAATGGTACCATTATTAGAAATAATTTAATTGTAATATTAAAATATTAGAAGACTTGGTGGCCTGACAAAATATTAGTCAGCATTTTTTATTAGTTTATACATTTTTGGAACAATTCTGTTTTCTTTGCGAAATCAATATGAATAGGCACATTTTATCTGACATTCCTCAAATATTATACAAAATTGAATTTCCGTATCACTTTATTAATATATTTTTAGACAAAAGTTGACATCTCTTCCGAATTACAATTCCGATTAACTATATCTAATCGCTGTCTCATTATCATTTTATCTCAAAGGACAAACATTTAGATTCCAAATAAAATTCGTATCGTCATCATACAAAATAAAAATATATATAAAAGATCTTTAGTAGTAATATTTCTACAGTAACAATTTTACTTCAAATTTGTATTTAATAGTCAAATTCTGATTAAAATATGGTCAAAGGCAAGCGATTTGTTTTGGAAAAGACTTTTGAAGGATTTCCAAAAGAAAGTGATTTCAAACTCGAAGAATATGAGTTGGCATCCATTAACGAAGGAGGTAAGTAAAACAAATAGCAGTAATATTTTTAAAGCTATTTCTTTAGACATACTTTCAGGGAAACAAAAAATAGTTGTTATTAATTACGATTAGTACAGGAATGTTGTCTAATATTTTTATGGTTCTTATTCGTATTTCTTGTAATAACTGGTTCTTTATTACAGATATGTTCTTCCAGAACTATGCCATACCACATAGTTGTAGCATTAATTACTTTCCTTGATGTAATTATTTCTTCTAGACTCATAAGTAATAACTATTCATTTTTTAGCACTAATATCTTCGTCTTTTTGATTTGAAAGATAAATAAGTACTTAAAAATTGGGTAGATGTTGTAGTGGTCTGATTTTAGAAAGTCAAATATACCAAACCATTTTAAAACGATCATTTAAACGATAATCTCTTACAATTTTTACAAATTTAATATAATTTATTTATATAAATTTGTGCTATTTCTGATACATACTGTAAGCCGATATTATGTATACTTATTCTAATAGTTTGCTGTTCATTTTATATGTGTTTCTCCCCAGTATAATTTAGTATAGGATTCTTCTATGATCTTGCTTTTTTTTCTATTCTATACGATCATTTAATTTAATTTAATTATCCTCTTAACTTTTCTTCTACTTTCATATTTAGAGTTTTGAAACTGTCTGTTATTCAATCTGATCGCTCATTTCTTCCTTTAATACTCCACTAAATGACCGTTTCGGAGAGTTACTTGAAGTTTTCCTAGTTGACTCTTTATTATAAAAATGTATTTTACTACTATTGCTACGGGAGAAATTTATTTTTTCTGCATCTTTTTTTACTATTTCCGCAACTCTATTTTCTTTGTTCTTATTAGACCTACATATTTATTATTAAATTAAGTTATAGTAAACTTATCTGACTGATTTTTATATTTTTAGAGTTTTTGGCAGAAGCTGTCTATCTTAGTGTCGATCCGTATATGAGGGCCAAAGCATCTAGTTGGTCTATGGTTGGTAAAACTATGACAGGATCTCAAGTTGCCAAGTTATTAAATATATTATATTGCCGTTTTTATCTACATCGCATATTATCGCTTTTTACAGTACTTATTCGATTATACGATTATAAAGGTTATATATATATATATATATATATATATATATATATATATATATATATATATATATATATCTTTAATTCTGGATTTGTATTTTCATCTTAGGTACATTAAATCTAAGACGTCTTGTGTCATTTATTCCTGTTTAATAATAAGCACTTTACCATACTTTTTATGAGATATTGTATTTGCAATTTTGCACTATATTCTAAATTATGTGAACACATTATTATTATTAACCAAACAATTAATATTATTTAATGATTCTTGTTTTCTTTATAAATAGAATATTGGAGAGCAAAAATCCAAAATTCCCATCAGGTAAACACGTTGTTGGCAATTTTGGTTGGCAAACTCATACAGTTTCCAATGGCGAACATATTCAGTTGGTTCCAGATCTTGGAGACTTGCCACTATCACTTTCTCTTGGAGTTCTTGGAATGCCAGGGTAAGAAAATTTATTTAGTTCAGCTTCACTCTTATTGTTGTAATATTTATAGCAGCTAAAATTTGTTTTAGCTGCTATAAATAGCAATCAATTTTCTAATGATGGCAACATTTTCCATCATTAGAAACTTTATCACTACTATAGTGACTTGCTATTATTGCTTTTGAATACGCTTATCTTTTTCTTAAGTAAAAACAAAAATAAAATTGGAATAAAGTGCCATGGGGTCATGGTCAATAAATATAGATCTAATCCAAATTCTCTCTATTACAAGGTTTTTAACAAAAAAGAAAAATTTTCTGTAGCAGAAACTAATGCAAAATCGTAGAAAAATATATTTAACAATCTTTTCATAACAATGAACAAATGAAAAAATGCGATTAAGAAGAACAAAAAGTAGATACATAAGATATCCGAACATAAGTAAAATAAGTAAATAATTTTAGATTTAATATTATGCCAGAACAAAATAGAAAATCAGGAGGAACTTAAAGACGTCAACTATTTTAAATACCTTGGCAGTTGTTTAAATGTAAATTGTGACTCTGACGAAGAGATAATAACCAAGTTCGAAATATCACGTAAGCCTTTTATGACCTGGAGACCAGTTTTATGTTACAAAAACCTGTCGATGCAAATTCGCAAGAACGTCTTGAAATGTTATGTGTAACAATGCTTAACAAATTAAAAGTATTCGAATTATGGTGCTATTGACGTATCCTAAAAATATCATAGATTTTGCACATTTCCAATGAAGATGTTTATAAAATGGTTAACTTAGAACGTCTAATCATAAATATTATAAAGAGGAAAAAACCACAATACTTCGGCAATAAAATTAGAAGACTAAAATACCCTCTTCTTCACTAAAATACAAGGAAAAGTAAAGGGAAAGAGATAGACTGGCCTAAAGAAACTTTCATGTCTGGGTAATATTAGACAATGATGTCGCATACGCATACATAGGTACGTTTAACGCCAAAATGATAGTCCACCAACACGAAGAACTGATGAAAAAATTAATGATAAAACCAGAAATGACAAAAAGAGGCATAAAATATATCTTCTATCAAACTTGTAAAGTATATGAAAAAAAAAGAATATACGAAATATATACATACCCTTAAGTTCATGGTCCCATAAAGCAACCAATTTTTATTTAATTTATGTTATTTATTTAGTTTTGTTGTCTACTTACTTTATCGATCTTTGATATAACCAGTGTTGTTCTGTTTTAGAAACACATCTTACTTTGGATTTCTTGAGTTGTGTCAACCAAAACCAGGTGAAACTGTTGTTGTATCCGGAGCTGCAGGAGCTGTTGGTAGCCATGTCGGTCAAATTGCAAAAATTAAAGGTTGTACGGTTATAGGAATCGCAGGATCAGACGAAAAAGGAAAATGGTTAACGAAAGAGCTTGGATTCGACCATTTTATCAATTACAAAACAGCTAACATAGCTGAAGAATTGAAGAAAGCTGCTCCCAATGGAGTGGACTGTTATTTTGATAATGTAAGTAGTAGAAAAAAGTACAAAAAATAAGTACAAAACACCTATTTAACTTAAATTATATATTCGATGTAGTTATCTTGCCTCTGATACTAAATTATTAAGATAGCTATGCACAAACAATATAATAATATAACTTAACTATCTTTATTATGAACAAATAGTAACTGTACAATTTCAGTATGATTATGTATCCTATTATTTCATATATCGTGGCATATTGCAAAAACTGACCAAGTCAAATATCATGCTTTCGAGATAATTGATGTTGATTATTCTGTAATTTTATTTGAAATTATTTTCAAATCATTTAAAAAAAAATGTTTTTTTTCCAAGTATTACATTGTTAAAGTTAGTGATTCTAAGTAGCTCTAAAAATCGTATTCAACTTTAGGTTTTTCGAAAAAAAATTGACTTGTGTCACTTTTGGATGTAAAAATTTGCTCATATTAAAATCATAACTACCAAAAGATGAATATTGATCAATAATAAAATACAAAGAAAATTTATGTACGTTATATGGATCACTTATTTTGTTTCGGCCTCTTTTGAAGCATGCCAGTCTAAACATGTCATGCATAGTGTATACTGTAATATTCTCTTTAGTGTTTTCTATAGCACTGTGCATGGAATCTAAAATAAAATAAATCTGGAAATGAAATAAAAAACTTAGCAAACAGCAAAAATGCAAAATACAAAGAATATATAAAAGGAAGGCTAGAAAATAGACACAAGCACTCTGGGTCTACAAAAAAAGCCCAAATCAACTGAAGGATAGTTATTCGATGAAGTGTCGTAATATAAAAGAGAGGAAAAATAATGCACATCAACGACTACAACAACGATATAGAACACGAAAGGCAAAGGAGGAATATAGAATGCTAAGGAGGGAAGAGAAGAAAATACATCGCAGAAAGAAAAGAGAACACATAGAAAAAGAACTCCAAGAAAATGAAGAACTAAATAAACCATTAGAAAACAGAAAATTCTACCAAAAACTTAACAAAAGTGGAAAAGAATTTAAACCAAGAACAATTATGTGTAGGGACAGAGAAGGAGACATAGTAACTCAACAGAGTGAAATACTACAAAGATGGACAGAATTCTTCAAAGAAAAGTTTAAAAAAACGAAGATCCACTATATAATGGAGTTAAACTGGATTAAACAGATACCATAAAAACAACCCCCCTTCAGTAGCTGAAATGCAAGAAGCAGTTACCAGACTGAAAAACAACAAGTCACCTGGATTAGACAACATAAGAGCAGAATTAATAAAGGAAGGTGAAGACTTCCTATTGAATGCGATACACGAACTAATAGTGATTATATGGAATAATAAACAACTCCCACAAGACTGGAATACCGGAGTAATTATACCACTACATAAAAAGGGAGATCAGCTTCAATGCAAAAACTACCGGGCAATAACGCTACTGACTGTGGCATATAAAATATTGTCAAATATTGTGTACGACCGATTGAGACCATATGCGGAACAAATAGATGGATGATATCAATGTGTTTTTCGCGGCAGAAGTCCCCAATAAATCAGATCTTCGTCTTGAGGGAAATCTTGGAAAAGACTAGTGAATTTAATATAGACACACATCATCTTTTTATTGACTTTGAGAGTGCCTATAATAGCATCCATCGAGAGTTTCTGATCCATACACTGAAAAAGTTTAACATACTAACTCAACTCATTGATATAGTGAAAGAAACACTTAAAGTAAAAAGCAAAATTCTAATTCAAAACGAACCAATAGATACAATCCATGTGAGAACGGGCCTACGACAGGGAGATGCCCTATCCTGTATTCTATTCAACATCACATTAGAGACAATAATTGGGGAGTCAACAGTCAACACCAGAGGAATAATAATAACAAAAAGTGTACAAATATTGGCATTTGCAGATGATGTTAATATCATAGCTAGAAGCGAAAGAGAGATAATAGAAGCATTTAATGACATAGAAAGAGTGGTACAAAATGGTGCCCCAAACATTAACGAAATAAAAACCAAATATATGAAGGCCAGTAAATCGACAGGCCAAAGAAACCTACAGAATTTGACAATACGAGACTGTAACATCGAAAGCGTAAAAAGTTTTACATATCTAGGTTCACTATTTATCGCAGATAACAATATCAGTGAAGAAGTTAAGAGAAGAATACACATCGCTAATAAACCATATCTTTCTTTAAGTTCCATCTTCTATCGAAGGTTGGAAATCATCATGGCTATGCGGACTCTGTTGACTGCCGCTCTAAAAAGTTCTGCACTACTGCATTCAAACCATTCCCTTAAGTTCTTAAGCCAGGATATTCTTCGTCTTCCCACATTTCGCTTTCCTCGGATTTTGCCCTGCATAATAAGTTGTAATAATGCGTATTTTTGCCCTCTCATCACATGTCCCAAGTACTCAAGTTTTCGTCTTTTAATAGTTAATATTATTTCCGCCTCATTTCCTATCTTTCTAGTTACTTCCATGTTTGACATTCTTTGAATCCATGATATTCGTAGGATTCTTCTGTAACACCAAAATTCAAAGGCGGTCAGCTTATTCAGATGAACTTGTTTTAGTGTCCAAGCTTCCAGACCATAAAGAAGAGTAGAGAACACGTAACATCGAAGCATTCTCAGGCGTAGTTCTAACCTTATATCCCGACAACAAAGAAACTTTTTAAGTTTAATAAATGATGTACGTGCTATTTCAATACGTGTCTTAATTTCTTTGGTTTGGTCTACATCTGATGTTATCCATGTTCCTAAATATTTATAGTTATTAGCATTCTCAATTGCAGTATCTTCAATAGTCAATTGGATATTTGCATGTGCAGATTTAGTCATGATCATGCATTTAGTTTTCTTTAAATTTATCTTCAGTCCGTACTTTGACAGCGTTCATTAAGGCATTGCATTAGGTTCTGTAAATCATTGTTGTTATCCGTAATTATTACTGTATCGTCTGCAAAACGTAAGTTATTCAAAACTTCTCCGTTGATAGATATACCTTCTATTGAGTCTGAGAGCGCTTCTTGAAATACCGCTTCACTGTAGACATTGAAAAGTAGTGGGGACAGCACGCAACCCTGGCGGACTCCTCTCTGTATTTTGATATTTTCGGTGTACTGGCTGTCAACTCTTACCTTGGCAGTTTGATTCCAATATAAATTAGATATAATTTTCAGATCACGACTGTCAATATTTTTGCTTTTTAATATATCTACAAGCTTTTTATGTTGAACTTTATCAAATGCCTTTTCAAAGTCTACAAAACATAAGTACATATCCTGATTCATGTCCATGCATCTCTGAGCCAGCACATTCAAGCCGAACAAAGCATCTCTTGTACTCATACCATTTCTAAAGCCAAATTGTGTGTCACTAATCTCATATTCAAGAGTTTTAACAATTCTGCTGTGAATTATTTTCAAAAATGTTTTAAGTGTGTGACTCATTAAAGCTATTGTTCTGTGGTCTGAGCAAGTTGTTGAACTTGGTTTTTTGGGAATTGCTACAAAGGTTGATTGCAGCCATTGTCTGGGGATTGTGGCAGTCTGATATATTAGATTAAAGAGTTTAACCAGTACATCAATAACATCTTCATCGATGAGTTTTAATAATTCGATGGGCACCTCATCCGGTCCAGTAGCTTTACCCTCTTTTGTGTTTTTGATGGCATAGATGATTTCTTCTCTTAATATTGGTGGTCCAGTATCCTCGGTGATTTCTAATGACAGTTCTTCTCTTTCATCATTAAATAGTTGTTGAATGTAACTGGTCCAGTGACATAATCTCTCCTTCATATCAGTAATAATATCCCCTTTATCATTTTTAAGGATATTCGTTTTTGTACGCTTTCTAGAACCTGTCATTTCTTTGATTTTTTTGTGTAAATTAAAGCTATCGTACTTTTTATCCAGATCTTCTATTTCCTTGCATCTATCGGAGAGCCACCTCTCTTTTGCCTCTCGAATTTTCTTTCTGATGTTTTTCTGAATTTCTTTGTATTTATTCAAGTCTTTTGCTTTATGTTTTCTTCGTTCTTCCATGAGTTCAAGAATTTCTACTGTCATCCAAGGTTTTGTTTTTTCTTTAAGTGGTTTGAGGGTTTCTTTTCCAACTGACACAAGGGCATGTTGAATTTTTCCCCATTTTTGGTCAATAGTTAGAGTTTCTGCATTACCTTCTTTGACTTTCCTTAAGCTCTCGTTTACTTTAAATTTGGTTTCCACATATGTGTTGTCTTGTTTGAGACGTCTTGTATCTATGATTTTCTTGGTGCTAGGGCTGTTGACCTTCTTTAGTTTCACTCTCATCGACAAAACAACCGGGTTGTGGTCGGAGGATATGTCCGCTCCTGGATAAGTTTTAGATGATATTATAGAATTTCTATATCTTCTGTTGACGATAATATAATCTATTTGATTTCTGACTATTTTGTTGTTATTGTCAGCTGGTGACCTCCATGTATATAGTCTACGTTTAGGAAGTTTGAACAAGGTATTTGTAATTATGAGTTCCTCATTGACACAGAAATCGACAAGCCTATCGCCACGTTCATTCCTTTCCCCGAGTCCATATCGCCCCACGCAATTCTCCACTTCTCCTTGGCCAACTTTAGCGTTCAAATCGCCCATTATAATATTTATATCTTGTCTTTTAGTTAGTCTTAAGACATTGTCGATTTGTTCATAGAAGGCCTCTATGGTGTCTTCATCCTTGTCTGCAGTGGGTGCATATACTTGGATTATATTTATTTTACGTTTTAAATGAGAGTTTAGAGACAGCATTAATACTCGATCAGAGTAGGGAACAAAGTTACAGACAGCTTTATGAGAATTATTATCAACTATAATGCCAACTCCCCGTTTGTGCTTGGAATCGTTGTTTCCAGAATAATACATCGTTCCATTTCTGGTCTTACATTTTCCTGATTCAGGCCATTGTATCTCGCTAAGGCCCAGTATATTAATTTTCATTCTACACATTTCCGACACAGCATTATCCAGTTTGCCTGATTGGTATAAACTTCTTACGTTCCATGTTCCGATTTTCAAGGCTATAGAGTTATTTGCTTGACAGGGATTTACCTTGTTGACGACCTGAGAGGCCCTGTCGTCTAAATCTGATTGTCCTCCCCTGCCGGATCTTGGATTCCGAGCTCCATGATCATTAAGTAAATTATCCATTAGTGGGTCCATGATGATTTTTACTAAGGATATCCTTACGGATCTTTAATGTGGTAGTCATCCCCTGGCTTTCCACATCTCAATGCCGTTGACTAATTAAGTTCTTCCGCCTTCGGAGTTAATTTCTATGATCCAGGGCAATGAAGTGCCCTACCACGTGTCGGTTCTTCCACCCTTAGCTGTTGACCAACAGGTGGGGGATTACTTATACCGGTAATCATTCGGTTAATTTAGCAGCTCTAGTATCCAATAATATACCGATCCAGGATCATTTCCCTTACGCTCTATCTTGGCACTGATGCTACTGTCTGACAGAGTAGGATATAGGAATGGAAACTTTGGTAATTAGATGGGAGAATGGGTTCAGGACATAATTTCTCCCAGGTACCAGGAGATTGGGAGATAATTATGGCTCACGTGGGCAGGGTCGCATCCCTGAAGTAGATCTATCTTCTACCGGGAACGTAAAAGAGTATCTACCCGCTACCCAAAAACCATATAATGGACTAATTAAACATTTTAGATCTAACAACATCACAAAAAAAACCAAATGCAAAATATACAAGACCCTGATAAAACCTGTCCTTGTATATGGATCAGAGACGTGGACACTGTCGAAAAGCGGTGAGAACCTATTAGGTACATTTGAACGAAAAATCCTTAGACACATATATAAGAGGGTGAAGGAAAATGACGTATGGCGCAGAAGATATAACTTTGAACTATACACAGCATACAATGAACCCGAGATCGTAACATCCATAAAGATCGAACGTCTACGCTGGATGGGCCATGTTGAACGGATGTTGGAGACTGAAACGTCAAAACATATAATGAGGCAAACACCAGTAGGAAGAAGGTCAGAGGGAAGACCTAAACTTAGATACATGGAACAAGTGGAACAAGATCTGAAAACACTTAAGATTACCAACTGGAAAAACAAAGCAAAGAACAGAACGGAATGAACAGAACGGAACAATGCGTAGCAGTGGGCTTTTTTTGACTAGCTGTTTCGTAAATTGTGAGATTGTAGGCGCACAGCTTTCTACTGTAATACATTGGTGAGACATCTAAATAATGTATTTGCAGAACGCTCTGTAAATCAAATGTGACACTTAGACAACTGTTATCGTTAATTGCTCTTTGTCTGATTTTTTTCCTTTTGCTTTGTCTCGTCTTTTAATGTGATCATGATATCATTCTTCTAAATATTCAGCTTTTGTCTTCAAGTAGTTTGTGCGTGTTATGTACTGATCCTTTTTAGGCTTAAAAAGAACAAATTAAAGTTGGTACAAAAAATGCGGCAACAAGTTACTTGAGATGCATATTTCTTTCCCGTTTTCTTGCAATGTTCAATATATACTTCGTACATTTTTGCAAAAGATAAATTATTAAAATCTTAAATATTCTCGTTTAGTTGATACTTTGTAGGAGCTTTGATTAAAAATATAATATCAGGTTTAGTTCTATTATCTGGTTCTTTTTTGGCACGTTTGTCGTTAGCTGCACATATTCCTATATTATTTGCTCCAGAAAATGCCTTATCCTTTTTGATAGTATCTACTTATAGATTTGATAGCACCTGTTTCAGAACGAACTTTTTTACAAGACTGTTCTTTGCTAGCAATACAACAGAGAATATAATCCTTTTGACAATTACGGTCCAATCTTCAAAATTTTGATGAGAAATGGTCTCTAAAATCATCAATAAAACAAAGGGAGCATTTAAATTTACAATTAATAAATTCTAGTTTTTTGTTGCAATGACTGTTTCTTTTAATTTGTAAGGCAAACTTAAAATTATATTTTTTGCCTTAATACTTCTTTTCCACTGGGAACGATTAGCTTTTCTCCAACGACATTCTCAAAATGCCTTATTTTGGTTAATTTCGTAATTTTGGACTTTAGTCCATTCTGATCTACTCTCTAATGAGAACAATATTTCTGTCGTTATATTATATCTATAAATAAGCCCGTCCATAACCATATTCCGAAAGATAGGAGACAAGACTGTACTGATAGTTTATAACCAGTTATGAGTCATCTAGCAACCACTGCTCGCCATGACCTCGTCCCATTTGCAGCTTGTTTTGCCCATTCTTTGGATAAACCGCCCATGTGATTACCTCGTATAAGGTGTTGTCAAACGCCTGTTTGCTCTGTGTCGGTAAATACACTCAGTGTCAGCTCTATTTGTTTAAAAATTTACTTTACCTCCTATATGAAATGACACTGTACTGTTTTTGTAGAAAATCCTGCTTTATACGTATTATGTCCCAGTGAATCGGACTTTTAAACAATTAATTATTCCAAATATACCTATTGAGCAATTTTTCTTGTCTTCAGTACACTGTCTACCTTATACTTATGGGCCTCAGCGACTTTTACTTATCAGGTTTTGCCAAGTTTAGATATAAAAATTTACATTTTGTTTCTTTATGCTTTTAATATGTACTTGTCCTTTACTAGCATAAAGTACCATACATAACTTTGTGTACAAATAGTAGGTTTTCTTTTGTAGAAGATAATAAAAAAATAAGAATCGCCAAGCAGTAATATAAAGTAAGAACTAACCAGGAATCGCAAGAGTAATATAACCAATCAGATATACTAAAACTTAAGTCAAAAAGATTAAGATGACTACGTCAAGGCATAAAATTATCGTGTCGTCCTGTTGGTATTCGATCGGTTATACCCTAGATCAGGGGTAGGCCATGCGGCGCTTGCAGGCGCCATGGTACCCCGATCGGTTTTTAATGCGCCCTCTTTACTTACTCTTGTCTTGATTTACTTACTCTTGTCAAACAGATATATACGGCAAATAATCAGCTGAGTTTAGGATTGTGCAGAAATTAACAGTTTGATAATCTTGAGCGTATCTAATAACACGCACGTATTTTTTATTAGTGTGTGATCGTATTTCGAATAGACCACGCATAGACCGTGTATTGAAAACTACCAAGTAATCCCAAATAAGTTTTTCCTTTTAAAACCCTTCATAGAAAAATGTAAAAGAAAAAGAACATTATTACAACAAACATTATTTTAACGATAAATGGGAACATCCACATTGTTTCGTTGATTACAAAGAGAAGTGTATTTGTTTGTTGTGTAATAAGAGTGTTGCGATTTCCAAGAAAAGTAATATTGAACGACATTTTAAGACTGTTCATACCAATTTTGATAGTAACTATACAATAAACTCAGAAATTAGAAGAGAAAAACGAATTCTTTTAATTCTTCAATGGATAACCAGCAAAAGTTTTTTTTTACCAAACCATTGCTACAGCATAAAGCAGCAACGATCACGTCATATAAAATATGGCATTTGCTAGCTAAGAATAAGAAAGCATTTACAGCTGGCTTTTGTTCTCCAATATAAAATAATTTGAAATCGAAATACCGAACAAAGCTTAATTACTTATATTGAGATAACTGTTTAAGGACTGGGAACTCTAAATATATCTGAGTATAAAGTTGAAAGTATGAACACCCAAGTTTCACAACGAATCAAGTGTATCATTATGTATGAAACTAACAAAGTAAACTAAAAAAAATCTGTTTTTTTAATGCCTATTTATAGCTGTTGATTATCTGTAAAATGTCTTGTTCTCAGCTTAGAATTGATTTCTTAATTTAAGTTTATATTGACACAATACATTTATCCCCAAAAATTAAAGTAGAACATTTAAACAACAAAGCAGTTTTATGATTCTTGTATATTATAATAATACTAATAATTATATACTTTTTTTTCAGGTTGGTGGAGAAGTTAGTTCAATAGTAATATTCCAAATGAATCTTTATGGCAGAATCTCTGTTTGTGGATCAATTTCAAGTTACAACGAGTCTGAAAGGGCACTTGGTAAATATATTACTAAAAATTTTTATTATATTCTCTTGTTTCGTCTAATCTTTTTATAAATTGTATGCAAAATAAGAATTTAATTGATCTAATATATCGAGTAGGTAACACTGAAAATACTTTTTTTTAAATACTATATAGATGGTTGCGTTCTTTACAATTTTTTTAGACATGTTTCAACGTTTAAGTTTTATTAGGGAAAACTTATAGGGAAAAATATAATAAGACTGCATTAAAGCAACGGTTACCCTCCTTGGCCATTATTATAAAATAATGCACTTGCATATTGCATAATGCATAAATGTTACTAGCGACCTCTCATCATCATCATCTTTGGCTCGACAATCCTCTGTGGATCTTGGCCTGCTCTAAGATTCGTCGCCATTCTGTTCGGTTTTTGGCAACACGTTGCCATCTTCTGATTTTTAATATTCGTAAGTCGGTTTCTACTCCATCTAACCACCTAATTCGCGGTCGGCCTTTACTTCTTTTTCCTACAGGTGTTACTGTGGTTAGCTTTTTAGCAATGGTATTTTCTGGCATTCGTATTATGTGGCCAGCCCCTCTAAGTCGCTATGTTTTAATGAACATTATGATATCTGGCCCATCAAAGAGCTGATACAACTCAAAATTATATCTTCTGCGCCACTGCCCTTGGTCGTTTACAGCTCCAAATATTTTGCGGAGTATTTTACGCTCAAATATTCCCAAAAGTCTTTCATCTTTCTGCGTTAGAGTCCATGTTTCTGCTCCATATGTGAGGATCGGCCTCAGCAATGTTTTGTATATAATAATTTTAGTTCTTCTTTGAATGTTTCTTGAGTGGAAATGCTTTTGGAGTCCATAGTATGCCCTATTTGTAAGATTTATTCGTCTTTTGATTTCTTCGCTTGTTTTATTGGTCGCAGTCAATAGCGACCCAAGGTATGTGAAGTTGTCAACACGTCAAGAGATATGACTTCCAAAGACTGTTTCTCGTTCCTCATTTACTATCGGATCCTTTGTAATCAACATGTACTTGGTTTTGTCTTCGTTGATGACTAGACCGACCTGTTTCGCCGCTGTTTAAAATTCTAGGAGATATTGCTCAACATCTCGCTTGCTATGCCCTACTATGTCAATGTCCTCAGCATATGCTAAGACTTGTATCGATCTATTGTAAATAGTACCGCCATCCCTAATTCGTGTATCTCGGACTGCCTTTTCTAAGGCAATATTAAATAGAAGGCAAGCTAGAGCATCTCCTTGTCTGAGACCATTCTTTATCTCAAAGGATCTAGAACTCTCTCCCTGTATTCTAACAGTGGCTTCTAAGTTAGACATTGTCATTCTCGTTAGTCGGATAAGTTTCTCTGGTATACCAAACTCATGCATTGATTGGCATAGCACTGTTCTCTTGACACTGTCGTATGCAGCCTTGAAGTCGACGAATAGGTGATGGGTTTCAATATTGAATTCTAATGTTTTCTCGAGAATCTGTCTTATTGAATGAATCTGGTGAATTGTTGATTTTTCTGGAGTGAATCCAACTTGATATTTACCAAGTATGCCCACTGTGTAAGCTTGCAACCTTTCGTAGAGAATAATTGCTAGTATTTTGTAAGCAGTTGTTAACAGGGTTATACCTCTATAGTTGTCACACTGGAACTGGTCACCTTTTTTATGTAACGGGCATATCACGCCTTGAGACCATTCACAAGGCATGGTCTCATTATGCCAAACAAGAAGTAAAAGCTTATGCAGTGTCTGTAGTAGGGCATCGCCACCATTCTTGTAGAGCTCACTGCAACTTTGATCGACTTCTGGTGATTTATTATTTTTAAGCTTTTTAATGGCTTGGGCAACGTTTTCGATGGTAGGTGGTCTTTCGTTTGGGTTGAAAGGATTCCAATCATTTCGATTTGCTAGGGTGTTATCTGCTTCTTCGATATGATAGCCATTAAATTTTGCATCGAAAAATTTAACCCATCTGTTTAGGATTGAGGCCGTATCATTTAGGATGTTTCTTTCTACATCCTTACAGCTCCTTATTCTTGGCTTAAACTCTTTGCGCATTTTGTTTAGATTTTAGTAGAACTTTCGAGTTTCATTTCGATTTCTTAACCATTCTGTGCTTTCTAATTGCTTTTGCTCAAATTGTCTTTTTTTCTTCTATGTAATCGTTTTTCTTCTCTTCTTGGTGTCCGGTATTCTTCCTTTGCTCTTCTTGTGCATCCAGCTTGATTTGTCTTTAGGTATGCCCTGTTTTTGTTATCTGTTGCTTCTTGGCACTCATTGTCAAACCATTCGTTTTCTTTAACTGGTTTGGTTTTCCCAATATTTTTGTTGCTTTCTCACTTATTGTATATGTTTTTACATTTTGTCCACAGTTCCTCTACATTTTTCCCCGCCTCCAGGCTCTCCATTTCCTCGTCCATTTGTCTCCTATACTAGCGACCTCTACCGAGGTAAAATGAAGTCGGTGTCAATACCGATTAAAGTAAACTGTAAACTAAAGCTAATAAAGCTTAAGTCGATGTTATGAATATTTATATTCCACTAATATATCAACAATTTTCCCATCACTTTTGTACTCTTTGTCGAATAAGAACGATAAACAATTTTATTATATATTTATATATTCTTTTTTAGCTGCCATATTTCTTATACATAATTTTTTCTCTGTTCATTTTTACTTATGCAAATAAGTGCAAGTCTATTCAAGGTACAACGTACTAAATAGCCGTATGACTTATTATAAATGTTCATTTGTTGGCATTTATTTGTCATAATTTAGATAACAGGTCTGGATGTCAAAGCCACTCAAAGCGTCAAAGTATAAATTTGAAATAATTTGTGGTTAATTCTTTTTAAGAATCTGTTTGACATTTCTTACTATATTATACATTTAGTATGTCAAAAATGTTGTACAATAAATATCCTAATTTTTCTTTCTTTTGTCATTGGGTAAATAAGGAAAAGATTCTCGTGTTAATATTGTTTTACCAATAAAAATTATCTAACATAAGCTGCAAGGTACGATAAGCTAAGTTGCAGAGTTATGTTGGGTCCATACTATGTTCTAGAATTTTTGATCGTGGCTGATAGTGCTTTTTATAACTTATTTGTAGTTAATTATCTTCTGCTAAGTTCATCATATCTTTCATTGTCATATATTCTCCGATGACCTGGTACCAAAACCAGTGTGTCACTATTATATTCGGCCAGTTTATCGAAATCTTTTCGACATTCTTAACCAGCCTGGAGTCGACCTTAGGCTAATATCCGCTTGACTATACGTGAATGAATTGATCCGGTTGCGTTCGAATGCCCTCATGTTATTTTCTCTTGCAAAATTCTGCCTAGGATACAGTTAAATTCGCCTAGTGACATAGAAGTGTTTATATTTTTACTACTTCTTCTTCTTCTATGGCACTACAACCCAAATTCAGCCTTCGCCTCTTTAATTTTTTGCCTCCACTTTTGCTTGTATTCCGTCCTGTATTCTAAGCCAAACGTTCAGATTTCGTAACAGTGTGTTTTTGCTGGGAGTAGGTTGTCAGCCCTCTGCCCAACCTTCCTCCTTTACTTGGGCTTAGAACCGGCAGTGGAGACTCCTGAGCTACTCGATCCATCCATATGTGTTATATTTTCACTACTACAGAATAATCCTACACCTGATCCTTCAGCAGTTTTAGACCTGTAGAAAAAATACCTATACAATGTGGATAGCATGATGGAATATAAGATAGTACAAGATATACAAGATATAAAATGAAATTGTCATGTTTCAACGTTTAAGTTTTCAACGTAATTAAATATAAATTGTCATATATGTTTTTAAAGTGATATAAGGTTGAATGCTCCAATAAATGAACTTTAATTAAATAAAAGGCAGATATCGAGTACAGTTTTTATTAAATCTTGCCCTCTTGCGAAAGTACTTCCGCTCCTAGAGCATATTCAGAGGCATTTTGTCAAATTAGGCTATCCAACAATATGGTGAATGTCATAAACAATAACTGATATATTTATAAATCACGAGACAAAGAACAAACAGTTTAAAAATTATTATAAATTTGCAGAAGCTACATATTGGGTGACAGTAGAAGAGGACATTCTCCTCTAATGATGGACTCAATGACTTCTGTTGAACCAACTTTTTTTAATCACCCGTCAACTCAATCGATATTCTTAACGTTTAAGTTAACATTTATCAGCTAGGTAGAATATTTTGTGTGGTTCCTTTGAGTTAATAGTTAAGCTCTTTTAGTTAATAGTTTTCTTTTTGTAGGCACAACTATTCTTGTTGCCTTTCTTCTAAATTTATTTTATCGTATTATTTGTCTTTGCAGCCATATTCTGTAAACTGTCTTGCTTCTTTGGATTGGACCTTTTGACTTAACATACGGCTTATTGGTTTCACAAAAAAGTTTTCGACATTGCCGGGATTGATTTTCAACTCGTCTCTTGCGACCCTTTTTTAGTCTTTTTTTATCTATTCCTCCATATTTTCTGTTTCTAATTTATTGGCATTCTCCTTATTTTCATATTCTTCAAATTTTTCATACAAAACAGGTTCTGTATGACGGTCTTCATTTAATTCTTCTTTTGTCTTCTTCTAACCTCATCTACCTCATCACCTCATTACCTAGTCCTCATTTGTTACGTCAATTATTGTTCCATGCACTTTTTGTGAACAACTTTTTGCATTTTGTTAAAAATATTTGAAATTTGACCTTCAAATTAATTAACTTTTCTATTAGTTTGAGTTTTATAATATTCTATTATTTTAGCTCCCATGCTTCAACGAGGATTTGCAGGTAAACAACTTAAAATGGAAGGATTTATGGTTCATAGATGGAACAACAGGTTTATGGAAGGAGTTAAACAGAACTTGGAATGGATCAAAGAGGGCAAACTCAAATACCAAGAAACCGTCACTAAAGGTTTCGAAAACATGGTGAAAGCTTTTATAGGAATGTTAAAAGGAGAAAACGTGGGAAAGGCTATTGTAAAAGCTTAATAAGCTATTGTAATTTAATTTTTTTATATTGTGTATTCTAAATAAAACCTTTTATAAAAAATGTATATTCTCATTTAAAATTAATATATTTCTAGAAATCGACCAGCGAAAAGTTTCTGGTAGTAACTCTGAGAAAACTATTGGTAATTGAGAGAGGTACTTTTGCACACCTAGAACAAATTTTTCATCCAGAAGGCTCCAACATCATACACAGCTTATAGCAATATCTTCACAATGGCGTGACTGTTGTCGTTTTCATGCAACTTGGATGGTTTCAATACGTTTACGCATAGAAATATTTCGTTTGTTGTATATGGGTGTTTTAAATTAAAAAAACTATAAACTGTTGAACACGGAAATGCCTGTGTACAATGGTAGCGTGAAAAACTATATATAATATAAATAAATAAATATATATATATATATATATATATATATATATATATATATATATATATATATATATGTATAGATATAGATATATTGTTATGGTATGTTTAGTTTATCTCAGAACTTACTGTTGTGGCTTATTCTCTGTTCACAAATTGTTGATAGCACGAAATATGCCTCAAAATCATCAAACGGTCGTAAAATTTGTATCTTCATAGGCGTTCCTTGTCTCCGGAGGCGTGTCAGGGAGAATCTGACCGCCGTGCCGGACGCATTTAGAAATTCGGAGAAATACTTGGAAATTCCAAGTGTGGGCAAATCCGAATTTCTAATTGACTCGATGTAGGGAAATTCCACTTTTACTACGTAAAACAAAGGATTTGTTGTATATAAAAGCAGACGGAATTTCTCTCATCGGTCAGTCGAGCTTGCCTCTTCTTCTGTAGACCTAGTCGGTGCTATTATTGTTCCGACTAAGCTATTGTTTTATTTCTTATTTCCTGATAACCATTTATATTTTATTATTGTATATTCAGACCTTTTCAGGTTAGAATATTACTTTGACTTATATTTGTTCATATACTGATTATTTGATATTTTATTTGATTATTTTGATTGTTTATTTTTCTTGTATTTTGTATCTAAGTTGTTCTTCCGTAAGTTAAGAACACTTAGAAATATTTATCTTACTTTTTTTCTATTTTATAAATTTGATTTTGTACTTTGTGTCTAAGTAGTTCTTTCCGGTAAGTCAAAGAACTCTTAGAAATATTTCTCTGATATTTGACTTGTTAATTTTATTGTGTGCCTAAGTCATTCTTTTCCGGTAAGTCAAAAGAAACACTTACAAATATTTGTATTTTTTTTTTTGCTATATTTGATTCTCTTGTTTGTTTTCTGTTCTAAGAAACACTTAGAAATATTTCCATACATTGTTTCATATTTACATATTTCATTTATCTATTTCTGTCTTAAGTTGTTTCTTCCGTAAGTCAAGAAACACTTAGGAATATTTCTACACTTTTCTGTTCTTTTATTCTTGTGTATTTTACTTCTCATTCTAAGTTGTCTCTTCCGTAAGTCAAGAAACAATTAGAAACATTTTCTGTGCATTGTATTTTTATATACCATTTTATTTCCTTGTTTACGAAGTTATTTCTTTCGTAAGTGAAGGAATACTTAGATTATTTTACCTGTTCTGTTTTCCATTTTTGATCTGTTATTTTGTAACTGTTCCTTGGAACCGTTACTTGTAACAGGTACTGTCGCTGTAACGGTAACAGTATCGACCCATTTCACCAGCGACAAACGAAGATGGTAAACACCCGTTCCAATTCCGGAGACAGGAAAAAGTCCGAAGAGCCGGCGATGGGTCCTACAGGCCCAAATGCCCCCTCCCGGCAACATGGCGCCCAACCCACTAAAACCGAATCCACGACCCCAGGACCGTCTTCGAGCCAGCCTGCTACAGCTGACTTTATCTCTGCTTTGATGCAAGCGATGACGGCCCTATCCACAACTCAAGGCACTGCACCCCAGATGCCTCAGCCTGAGACACCGAAGTCCAGGATAAATTACACGAAGCCCCCTCAATTCTCAGGCCGGGACACCGAGAATCCACTCAGCTTTTGGACAAAAGCTGAGAATTTCTTAATCAAACATGACGTAGACAAGGACCAATGGATCGACTACCTCATAGACAATTCCCTCCACGGCGATGCGAAGAAATGGGCTCAGAAATTTTCATACACTGACCTGCCATACACCACATTTCGAGACCGTCTCCTAAGGAGATACAATGACCCTGCCGCAATTTCAACCCTGACGTCGAAGCTTTATGGAGAACATCAACGTAGGGACGAATCCACGGAGGAGTTCATTAACCAGAAATCTGCCTTATTCAGACGTCTCATGCCACATACCCCCGAGGACCAGAGATGTATAACGATAGCGAACTTACTGAGACCTGACATCGCGATCTGCCTGAGAGCGAACATCCCCAAGACCGAGGAAGACCTTCTGACAATCGCCCAGGGCATGGAATATGACATCCGCCGGACCGGCAAACCCCAGCAGCAGCAACAGCAGCCGTACCGTCCCCCACGTCAGGATAACGCTCCACGACACCCTGAGGCGATAGACGAATGGAGGCACCCCAGCGGACAGCACAGGATGCCCTCAATGGACCAACCACCACCTCCACTACCTCAGAACCAGGGAAACGCCAATCGGGGCGCCAACTGAACCCTGTTGTGAAGATGGTGCCCCAACTGAATCCTATTCAGGTACAACCCTCGACAGCAGGCCTCCCCCAACTCTATGGAAGGATCAACGGGCAACAAGTGAAGATTTTGGTCGACACCGGTGCCTCCGGGAACTTCGTTCACCAGAGGTTGATCCAGAGACGGGACCTGCAACGAGGACCAGGACTGGTTCAGCTGGCATGCACGGGCAGCACATCCCGCACCCTAGGGACTGCTGCAGTCAATATGAACATTGATACTCTGGACACGACTGTAAACTGCATGGTTATGGAGGATTTGAACCACGACGTTGTGTTAGGGATGCCTTGGTTGGAGCAGGAAGAGGCCAATGTAGACATACCCCGAAAATGTCTACACGCTGGTACTGCCTGCCGAACCACCATCTACTGGGCGACCCCAGCAGAAAGGCAAGCCAAACCACAACAGGTGGAATTCCATCAAACCCCATCCCAACAAGCAGAGCAGTCAATCCAAGAGGACAATGAAGTATTAGACAACCGTCCACGTCAGCCGACCACTGAAGAAACCGAAACAGCGGACATCAGTACAGGCACACCCGAGGAAGAAGAAGAAGTTCCACTACTAGAGACGATGGAGGACGTCGACGAGGAGGAAGAACCTAGCCTAACAGCAGATGACATGCCAGACGCCGAATGCCTTCTATTGATAGAGACAATGGAGCATGGCGACAAGGAGGAGGCCACCGACCCCATCCTCGACGGTCCGGTCGACATACTACTTCGAGAGGAAATCCGGAGAAGTCACCGGACACGCAAGAGAAAGAAACGACTTCTGAGGCACGAGCAGCAAACCTCCGAAGACGCACCCAGGAGCGAGATTGGAGAGAGTCTCCTCCAAGAGTTCACGATGGTCGACGATGCTGACCATAGGACCCTGACCCCTCCGGACGGACGGGATGAAGGAACCACAGTGAAGCCGACCACCAAAGACGACCAAGGATAGGGTCCCATTACGACACGTGGAGATATCAAGGTGAATTGAGTAGCCTTATATCTTCACGACGTCGTAGGACCTCCTCAGGGTGAATAAAGTAGCCCTGACGGAAGCAGACGACCCACCTAGACCACCTGGACCACTATAATTTTAAGTATGATATATCTTAGTCGCTAGCGTAAGTTTGAATTGTATTTCTATGTATTGTATTTTTTTTTCTTAGGTTAAGGATTTCTTATTGTATGTATTTTGATTTTGATTTATCAATAAATTTTCTTTTAGCACCGTTAGGTCTTTCAGAGGAGGGGGGATGTCTCCGGAGGCGTGTCAGGGAGAATCTGACCGCCGTGCCGGACGCATTTAGAAATTCGGAGAAATACTTGGAAATTCCAAGTGTGGGCAAATCCGAATTTCTAATTGACTCGATGTAGGGAAATTCCACTTTTACTACGTAAAACAAAGGATTTGTTGTATATAAAAGCAGACGGAATTTCTCTCATCGGTCAGTCGAGCTTGCCTCTTCTTCTGTAGACCTAGTCGGTGCTATTATTGTTCCGACTAAGCTATTGTTTTATTTCTTATTTCCTGATAACCATTTATATTTTATTATTGTATATTCAGACCTTTTCAGGTTAGAATATTACTTTGACTTATATTTGTTCATATACTGATTATTTGATATTTTATTTGATTATTTTGATTGTTTATTTTTCTTGTATTTTGTATCTAAGTTGTTCTTCCGTAAGTTAAGAACACTTAGAAATATTTATCTTACTTTTTTTCTATTTTATAAATTTGATTTTGTACTTTGTGTCTAAGTAGTTCTTTCCGGTAAGTCAAAGAACTCTTAGAAATATTTCTCTGATATTTGACTTGTTAATTTTATTGTGTGCCTAAGTCATTCTTTTCCGGTAAGTCAAAAGAAACACTTACAAATATTTGTATTTTTTTTTTTTGCTATATTTGATTCTCTTGTTTGTTTTCTGTTCTAAGAAACACTTAGAAATATTTCCATACATTGTTTCATATTTACATATTTCATTTATCTATTTCTGTCTTAAGTTGTTTCTTCCGTAAGTCAAGAAACACTTAGGAATATTTCTACACTTTTCTGTTCTTTTATTCTTGTGTATTTTACTTCTCATTCTAAGTTGTCTCTTCCGTAAGTCAAGAAACAATTAGAAACATTTTCTGTGCATTGTATTTTTATATACCATTTTATTTCCTTGTTTACTAAGTTATTTCTTTCGTAAGTCAAGGAATACTTAGATTATTTTACCTGTTCTGTTTTCCATTTTTGATCTGTTATTTTGTAACTGTTCCTTGGAACCGTTACTTGTAACAGGTACTGTCGCTGTAACGGTAACAGTATCGACCCATTTCACCAGCGACAAACGAAGATGGTAAACACCCGTTCCAATTCCGGAGACAGGAAAAAGTCCGAAGA